TTCCCTTGTAAAAAGATACGCGGGGATATTGTTGTTCTAACATAAGACTTGTTTCGCGAACCCCTTGCAATAAATTGACGAAGTGCACACGCACGCGTCGTCGCGCGCGCGCATGCCGAAATCCTCCAAAAACCGTCGGTATCGGAAGGATTTCGCAATCGAGTTCCCAAAGCACATACAAACACACAGGGTTTCGCAACACTAATATGCTAAAAAAGCTTCCGCGCGAGCTCTTGCGAAGTCTTAAGAGAACCATAGGTTTTACAAGATTTTCGCAAAATTCCACCGAACGGGCTTGGCGCGCGCGCATGCCGAAATCTGTCGAACGCCATTGCGCGTGTGCCGCCGCGAGAATCTTCTGCACATTAGCCTGGCGAAGGACCCAACCATATGCAGTTGTGAATGCCGCAATTGTGCTGGGTGGTGGCGGACGCATGCGGGCGGTGCCACTGGGACCTTCGGTGGAGCTCCCTATGGGGCCACGAAACGCTGTACTGGGTGGGTGAGGCGCGGTCAGCAAGGGCTGTGCTGCGTGGTGGCGGACGCATGCGAGCGGTGCCACTGAGACCTTCGGTGGAGCTCCCTATGGGGCCACGAAACGCTGTACTGGGTGGGTGAAACGCAGGCAGGGAGCAAGGGCTGCGCAGGGTGGTGGCGGACGCATGCGGGCGGTGCCGCTGGGACCTTTGGTGGAGCTCCCTATAGGGCTACGAAGCGCTGTTCTGGGTGGGTGAAGCGCAGGGAACAAGGGCTGTGCTGGGTGGTGGCGGACGCAAGCGGGCAGTGCCACTGGGACCTTTGGTGGAGCCCCCTATGGGGCCACGAAACGTGCGAGGGGTGTGCCAGAATGGGGTGTGGAACCGCATGCCAGCGCAGCCACTGGGGCCTTCGGTGGAGCTCCCTATGGGGCCACGAAACGTGTGAGGGGTGTGCCGAAATGGGGGGTGGAACCGCATGCGGCGCAGCCACTGGGGCCTTCGGTGGAGCTCCCTATGGGGCCACGAAACGTGTGAGGGGTGTGCCGAAATGGGGTGGGGAACCGCATGCGGCGCAGCCACTGGGGCCTTCGGTGGAGCTCCCTATGGGGCCACGAAACGTGTGAGGGGTGTGCCCCGCATGCGGGCGCAGCCACTGGGGCCTTCGGTGGAGCTCCCTATGGGGCCACGAAACGTGTGAGGGGTGTGCCAGAATGGGGGGTGTGAGGGGTGTGCCAGAATGGGGGGTGGAACCGCATGCGGGCGCAGCCACTGGGGCCTTCGGTGGAGCTCCCTATGGGGCCACGAAACGTGTGAGGGGTGTGCCAGAATGGGGGGTGGAACCGCATGCGGGCGCAGCCACTGGGGCCTTCGGTGGAGCTCCCTATGGGGCCACGAAACGTGTGAGGGGTGTGCCAGAATGGGGGGTGGAACCGCATGTGGATTCGGTGCTCCCTCTGGGGCCACGAAACGTGTGAAGGGTGTGCCAGAATGGGGGGTGGAACCGCATGCGGGCGCAGCCACTGGGGCCTTCGGTGGGGCTCCCTATGGGGCCACGAAACGTGTGAGGGGTGTGCCAGAATGGGGGGTGGAACCGCATGCGGGCGCAGTCACTTGGGCCTTCGGTGGAGCTCCCTATGGGGCCACGAAACGTGTGAGGGGTGTGCCAGAATGGGGGGTGGAACCGCATTCGGGCGCAGCCACTGGGGCCTTCGGTGGAGCTCCTTATGGGGCCACGAAACGTGTAAGGGGTGTGCCAAAATGGGGGGTGGAACCACATGCGGGCGCAGCCACTGGGGCCTTCGGTGGAGCTCCCTATGGGGCCACGAAGCGTGTGAGGGGTGTGCCAGAATGGGGGGTGGAACCGCACGCGGGCGCAGCCACTGGGGCCTTCGGTGGAGCCCCCTATGGGGCCACGAATCGTGTGAGGGGTGTGCCAGAATGGGTGTGGGAGGGGGAGGAGGGGGGAGGAAGGGGAGGAGGAGGAAGGAGGAGGAGGAACGCGGGGCGACGTCCCTTCAAAACGATGACCCAACACCACAGGATGGTTGGGAAAAATGGACGAAGTGCCGACGCGCGCGTCGTCGCGCGCGTATGCCGAAATCATTCAACACCCCTATGTTTCGGAAGGATTTCAAAACCGTGTGCCCCAAAAATCATACAAAAACGCAACTTCTCGCAACACAGATGTTCAACAAAAGCGTGCGTGCGCGCTCTTGCGTCGTCGTCGTCGTCGGCGTCCTCCCTCCTCCCGCGTCGTCGTCGTCGTCGTCGCTCACGTCGTCCTCTGTCTTTCCTCGTGTTCGTCGTCGTCGTCGTCCTCTTTGGCGTCGTGGTCGTTTCCGTCGTCGTTGTCGCCGTGGTCATCCTTCCTCCTCCTCCTCCCTCGTCGTCGTCGTCGTCCGTCGTCGGCGTCTCGTCGTTGTCCCTTCTATTTCACCGCCGTCGTCGTCGTCGTTGTCGTCGTCGTCGTCTTCACTCCTTTCTCGTCGTTGTCGTCGTCGGCGTCTCCGTCCTTCCTCCTTCTTCGTCATTCGCGTCGTCGCCGTCCTCCCTCCTCCCTCGTCGTTGTCGTCGTTGTCGTCGTTGTCGCCGTCGTCGTCCTCCCTCCTCCCTCGTCGTCGTCTTCGTTGGCGACGTCGTCTTCGTCGTCGTCGTCGGCGTCGGCCTCGTCGTTGTCGTCGTCGTCGTCGTCGCCGTCGTCGTCGTCGCCGCCGTCGTCGTCGTCGTCGTCGTCGTCGTCGTCGTCGGCGTCGTTGACGTCGTCGTCGTCGTTGTCGTCGTCGTCGGGGTCGTCATCGTCGTCGTCGTCGTTGTCATCGTCGTCGTCGGCGTCGGCGTCGTCGTCGTCGTCGGTGTCGTCGTCGTCGTCGTCGTCGTCGTTGTCGGCGTCGTCGAAGTCGTTGGAGACGCCGTCGGTGTCGTCGTAGTCGTTGTCGGCAGCGTCGTCGTCGTCGTTGTCGCTGTCGTCGTCGGCGTCGCTGTCGTTGCCAATTGCCATTTGGTACCCACCGTCACGGTCTTAAGAGGTTTTGCAAGCCAAGTTGCGGGTGGGTGGGTGGGATGTTTGCGCGAGCAGTGGAGTGGACAATTCATTGCGAACAGAAAGTGTTACACCACATCAACTACACCACATATATTGCACGTCATACATTGCATCGCCCAGATTGCACACCATCGACTGCACCACATAGATTGCCCCACCTACAATTCCCCGCGTACGTTGCAATATTTAAAACAGAATAGGATCTACCCCCCCCGCCGGCGTTATCGGTCCCCCTTTTCGGGTATGTATATCATATATGATTATGACCACATGTCCATCCGAAATATGAAATCACAATGTCCCAGGCCAACCGGGTGCCCCCCCCCTGAGGGTCCTTTGTGTAAAAAAACTATGCGGTTACATTTATTGTTCTAACATGACATTTGTTCACGAATCCCTTGCAAAAAAATTGACGAAGATCACGCGCGCGCGCGTCGTCGCGCGCGCATGCCGAAATCCTTCAAAAACCTTCGGTGCCGGAAGGATTCCGCAATCGAGTTTCCAAAACACATACAAAAACACAGGGTTTCGCAACACTGATTTGCTAAAAAAGCTTCCGCGCGAGCTCTTGCGAAATCTGAGGAAAACCATAGGTTTCACAAGATTTTCACAAAATTCCACCGAACGGGCTTGGCGCGCGCGCATGCCGAAATCTGTCGAACGCCCTTGCGCGTGTGCCGTCGCGAGAATCCTCTGCAAAAAATTGGACGAAGTGCAGACGCGCGCGGCGTCGCGCGCGTATGCCGAAAACTTTCAAAACCCATCGGTTTCGGAAGGATTTCAAAATCGTGTCCAAAAAACCTACAAAAACACAAGGTTTCGCAACACAAATGTTCAACAAAAGCGTGCGCGCGCGCTCTTGCGTCGTCGTCGTCGTCGTCGCCGTCCTCCCTCCTCCCGCGTCGTCGTCGTCGTCGCCTACGTCGTCCTATGTCTTGTCGTCGTCGTCCTCTTTGGCGTCGTGGTCGTTTCCGTTGTCGTTGTTGCCGTGGTCGTCCTTCCTCCTCCTCCTCCCTCGTCGTCGTCGTCCGTCGTCGGCGTCTCGTCGTCGTCCCTCCTATTTCATCGCCGTCGTCGTCGTCGCCGTTGTCATCGTCAACTTCCCTCCTCCCTCGTCGTTGTCGTCGTCGGCGCCGCCGTCCTTCTTCGTCGTTCGCGTCGTCGCCGTCCTCCCTCCTCCCTCGTCGTTGTCGTCGTTGTCGCCGTCGTCGTCCTTCCTCCTCCCTCGTCGTCGTCTTCGTTGGCGACGTCGTCGTCGTCTTCGTCGTCGTCGGCGTCGTTGTCGTCGTCGAAGTTGTCGGAGACGTCGTCGGTGTCGTCGTAGTCGCCGTCGTCGTCGTCGTCGTCGGCGTCGTTGACGTCGTCGTCGTCGGTGTCGTCGTTGCCGTCGTCGAAGTCGTTGGATACGTCGTCGGTGTCGTCGTAGTCGGTGTCGGCGGCGCCGTCGTCGTCGTTGTCGCTGTCGTCGTCGGCGTCGGTGTCGTGGCCAAGTGTCATGTGGTACGTGGCGTCACGGTCTTGTCTGAAGAGGTCTTGCGACCAAGTTGCGGGTGGGAGGGTGGGATGTTTGCACGAGCAGTGGAGAGGACAGCTTCAAGACGGTCAAATATTAGTTGCACCACATATATTGTACCACACAGATTGCACAGCAAACAACATAAATTGCACCACCTATTGTACCTCAAATATTGCGCCACACCGACTGCACCACATATCCCATTAGAAACACAATGGTTGGGGCCCACGCTTGCGAACATGTTAGTGATCCTCCTCATCTGTTCACCTTTCCTGGTCCCCTGGAATGTCTGCGCCACTGGTCACATCTCTACTTTCTCGTGCTCCCCCTCTTCCTCGCATGATGATCTTGGATCAAGCCCCTTTTGTAGCATTGGCAAGGGTCTGCAGCGAATTTTTTCACGGGTTGCACCCGCATTTTTGTATACAGTCTACAGCCCCTTCTAGGGTCGGTTCCGTGAAGCATGGCTTGTGTTTTCCCGTCTGGACAGGCCATCGTGGTTGGCGGTGGCCTGGGTGGTATGTCGGCGGCCAACACGGTGCTGGAGAACAATGGCAAGGTCGTGCTGCTCGACAAGTCCTCCTTCTGCGGGGGCAACTCCACCAAGGCCACCAGCGGCATCAATGGCGCGGAGACGAAGACTCAGAAGGACAAGGGTATCAATGACACCATCACTCTGTTCACAAACGACACCCTCAAGGGTGGCGCCAAGAAGCCCGAGCTGGTCAAGGTCCTGTGCGGCAACAGCGGGGCCGATGTCGACTGGCTGGTGGAGAAATTCAACCTCGACCTGTCCCTGGTCGCCCGCCTAGGCGGCCACTCTGCGCCGCGAACCCACCGAGGAGCAGAGCGCTTCCCGGGGATGACCATCACCTACGCCCTGATCCAGATGGTCGAGAAGGTCGCCGAGAAAACGGATAAGGCGCGCATCATCACCAAGGCCAGGGTCACCAAGCTGCTCACAAGCGGCAGTTCCTGCGTGGGCTGCAGCTACGAGAAGGGAGGCCAGGTTTTCTCCGAGATGGGGCCGGTCATCCTCGCCACCGGCGGCTTCGGTGCGGACTTCACCAGCAACTCCCTCCTGGCTCAGTACCGCCCCGACCTGATGCACCTGCCGACCACCAACGGCGAGCACTGCACCGGCGACGGCATCAAGATGGGCGAGGCGATCGGGGCCAAGTCTATCGATCTTGAGTGGGTGCAGGTGCACCCCACTGGCCTGGTGAAGCCCGACGACCCCGACGCCAAGATCAAGTTCCTGGCTGCCGAGGCGCTCCGTGGCGTCGGCGGTCTGGTGCTGGATGCGAACGGCAAGCGCTTCGCGAACGAGCTGGGACGCCGCGACTACGTCACAGGCGAGATGTGGAAGAACAAGCCGCCCTTCCGGCTCTGCTTGAACAAGGCTGCGTCCGCTGAGATCGCGTGGCACTGCAAGCATTACACCGGCCGCGGCGTCATGAAGTTTTACGAGACTGGCGAGGCGCTCGCCAAGGACATGGGCGTTCCCGTTTCCGTGCTGGAGCAGACTCACAAGGAGCATTTCGAGGCCGCTAAGAAGACCGAGAAGGACCCGGACGGCGGCTCATTCCCGGCCTACCCCAGCGGTAAGTCTTGGGACGAGGCCAGCGGTAAGACTGGTTCGGGCAAGAAGTTCTACCACAACGTGATCGACGGCCCCGCGGTGAAGAGCGAGCCCTTCTACGTGGCCATCATCACGCCAGTGATACACTACTGCATGGGCGGCCTCGAGATCGACACGGACTCCGCCTGCGTCGGCGCCAACGGCAAGGCAATCCCGGGGCTCTACGCGGCCGGCGAGGTCGCCGGCGGCGTGCACGGCAACAATCGCTTGGGGGGCAATTCGTTGCTGGACTGCGTGGTGTTCGGCCGCGTGGCGGGCCTCGCCGCGACCAAGTACATGTTGGGCGCGGACTGCAAGCACGTGAGCCTCAAGGACCTCTCTGGCGGAGGCCTCACCGGCGAGGTGACGGCGTCCAAGAACGCGGGCGGCTCGTACGAGGATGGCATGAACAAGGGCGCGGAGGGCGGAAAGGCAAAGGGCGGCGCCGCGCCCGCCGGCAAGGGCGGCGTCAAGGGCTACTCCATGGAGGAGGTGGCCAAGCACACCAGCAAGACTGACTGCTGGGTGGTCGTGGCTGGCGAGGTGCTCGACGTGACCTCGTTCCTGAGCCAGCACCCTGGAGGCGAGCTGGCCATCCTCACGTTCGCCGGGAAGGACGCCACCGAGGAGTTCAACATGATCCATCCTCCTGACGTGATCCCGAAGTACGCCCCCGACGCCGCCATCGGCGTGCTCGGCGCAGGGGGCGGCGCGGCCCCGGCGGCGGCGGCCGGCGCCCCGGCAGCGACGGCGGCCGCGGCGGGAGAGCACGGCGCGCGCGACTGGAAGTTGGCGAACGACAACCGCAACAAGAGGATGGGCGAGTACGGGCGCGTCCCGGGGCCCATCGGGGCTCTGGTCTACATGGTCATCGCCTTCATGAAGGAGGTCCTCTTCACGATCTTCGGCCAGAAGAACTTCCAGTTCACCAACGACCGCATTGGCCTGACGCGCTCCGCAATGTTCATGTTCATCTTCATCATCATCCACGCAGTCGGCAACCTGCACGTGTTCCTCGGCCCGGACGACTTCAACGGATATGGATACTTCTACGTCCGCCTCTACTGGACGGGCTTCGGCTTCAACGCCAACATCGTGGAGGAGTACATCCTGCTCGCCGCGCTGCTCCACGTAGCGGTGGGCCTGAAGCGCACCTGGGACATCTCGATCAACTACACCATCGCCTCTGGCAAGCTCAACCTCGCGATCTCGGGCATCACGCTGCTGACCTTCATGAGCATCCACCTCTTCCAGTTCCGCTTCGGCGACACGCAGCCGTTCGAGCTGTGCCCGCCACCGTACCTCATCAACGTGGCCACCCTGCTGGAGCTGAGGCTGAATCTCTTCTGGGTCCACGACGCCGACTGCGTCAAGGCGAGCGTCCGCGACATCTACCGCATGGAGTTCGAGGTCTTCCAGTCCCTCGGCTGGTGCCTCTTCTACATCAGCGCCGTGGCCATCTTCGCCACGCACATGTGCCTTGGCTGGCAGAAGGCTGTCCCGGCGCCTGCGCTCGAGATCCCCAAGCGCTTCCACAACAAGGCGATTCACATCGGCTACATCATGACGGCCTTCATCGCGTTGGTCTACGTCAGCTTCCCGCTCTACACGCACATCTTCCCGATGTCCGACGGGGCGATCACCCCAGAGGCCCCGCTCCCCGTCCCCGTCGCCGCCGCGGGCCCGGCGTGAGCGGGCTAGCGACCCAAGACCCAGCGCTTCGCAGCACTCTGCGGCCTCTCGATCGTGCTTCTCCTTCGCCCCTGTTCCCCAAGCAGCGCTTGCACTTGGGAGTTCCGTCGCGATTTCCGAGCAACTGGCATGTATTTCCAGGTGTCCGCCACGTCCCAGCCCGTGAACGCCTCATGGGCGTTGCGTTCGCTGGGTTGTTCGCCTGATCCCTGTCTGGGGCAGCCCGTGGCCGCTTGGGGCGCCTCGTGCGCTGGTTGGCGATTCTAGATTTGCTCCTGGTTGCGGCCTGCGTCCGCTCGCGGGCGCCTAGCGGGCGCCCCGTGCGCTAGCTGCACCACGGAGCTGGCACCACATAGCTTCCACCACATACATTCCCTTTTCAACATAAGGATACAGTCTGTCACCCTCTCACCCCTGGACTCACCGGTACCAATTTGGATAGTACTGTTTAAACACGATTCTGCCTTATCGCCCACTCCCCACATGAAGTCATACCATCCCAGCCCAACTGGTATCGAACCCCCCCTCATACTTAAAAAATATAAAATGCGCGCACCCGTGCACCTCATGTGACAATCATTCGAGAATTCCATTCAACAGATGCACCAAGTCCACACAAGCGCTCATACCAAAATCTGAGGCCAAACACGTTAGGTATGCACTTGCTGTAATTAAGGGGGGACCATTCCAGTTTGGCCAGTTCGCCCTGAACCCGCATTATCATGTCACCACGCTGTGCATCAGCGTTGATCTAGCATACGCCCAGTGCACGAACCCGTGTCAAAGAATAGTGTGCGGGCCACAAGCGTGCGCCGCCACGCGCGCGTGTCGAAACCCTTTTCCGAATTCATAGGTGTTCGAAGCATTCCAGGGTAGAACTACAGCAAACAACATGTCCGAAACAACAATCGCCTCCATTGCCACCATCATCAGACCAATCACTTTCACTGCTGACACAGGGACGACCGTAATCATCATTATCGTTATCATCATCAGCATCAGCATGATCATCATCATCATCAGCATCATCCGTCATCATATTTCGTATCATCACCATCATACTATCATCATCGTCACCATCATCACCAGCAGCATCACCATCGCCATCAGCTTCATCAGCATCATCAGCATCATCACCAGCATCTGCGCGCCGCCGTCATTGGCCTCGTCGTCGTCATCGTCATCATCGCCACCACCACCACCAGTACTTTCATCATCGTTGCCGCTGTTGCCAACGTCATCATGGCACCGCGCCCACCCGAGTCACCGACCCGCGCTGAAGTGCTCGCGCGCTAGCGCCGTCATTCAGAGGCACTGGGAATTGTCCACCGGTAAGCGTTGCTGTGGCCGCATCAGTTGTGCCAAACAAGCTGGTAGCCCTGCGCGCGAGCGTGCGCGCGCCAGCGCGGTCGTACAGATGCGGTAGCATGTGCCAATCCGTTGATGCAGTCGCGGCCGCGTGGTTTCTATCCAAAAACATGCGGATGGGACGGTTTGGATGTTTGCGCGAGCATTGACAAGTTCTGCCAGGTAGATTCTCCTGTCTAAAAAGAAATAGGTTCTACCACCCCCCACCCCCACCGGATCTAACCATACATATAGTTCTGTCCCGTCGTCCATCCAAAATACGAAATTGCACTATCCCAGGGGCGGGCCGGTATCGCCCCCCCCCCCCCGCCGCATTCAGCAAAAAGTTTTATGCGCGCGCACCCACTTATCAAACATCAAAGGTTTCAGTAATGTGCGCGCGCGTCGTCGCGCGCGCATGCCGAAATCCTTCAAAAACTTTCGGTATCGGAAGGATTTCAAAATCGAGTTCCCAAAGAACATACAAAGACACATGGTTTGGCAACACTCATTCTCCAACAAAAATTACGCGAACGCTCTTGTGAAATCTTTTTTTTTTTTTTTTTTTGTCAAAAAAATTTTTTTTGGAAAAAATGCCAAAAGGACTTCGCGCGCGCGCATATCGAAATCGTTCGAACGCCCTTGCGCGCGTGCCGACGCGAGAATCCTCTGCAACAAATGGGACGAAGTGCACGCGCGCGCGCGTCGTCGCGCGCGCATGCCGAAATCCTTCAAAAACCTTCGGTATCGGAAGGATCTCAAAACCGAGTGTCCAAAAAACATACAAAAACACAAGGTTTCGCAACACGGGTTTTCATCAAAAGCGTGCGCGCGCTCTTGCGTCGTCGTCGTCATCGTCGCCGTCCTCCCTCCTACCTCGTCGTCGTCGTCGTCGCCGTCGTCCTCTATCTTTCCTCGTCGTCGTCGTCCTCCTCCTCCTCCTCTTTGGTGTCGTCGTCGTTTCCGTCGTCGTTGTAGACGTGGTCGTCCTTCCTCCTCCCTCGTCGTCGTCGTCGTCCGTCGTCGGCATCTCGTCGTCGTCCCTTCTATTTCGTCGCCGTCGTCGTCGTCGTCGTCGTCGTCGCCTTCCCTCCTCCCTCGTCGTTGCCGTTGTCGGCGTCGCCGCCCTCCCTCCTTCTTCGTCGTTCGCGTCGTCGTTTTCCTCCCTCCTCCCTCGTCGTCGTCGTCGTCTTCGTTGCCGCCGTCGTCGTCCTCCCTCCTCGTCCTTCGTCGTCGTCGTGTTCGTTGGCGACGTCGTCGTCGTCGGCGTCGGCGTCGTCGTCGTATTCGTCGGCGTCGTCGTCGTCGTCGGCGGCGTCCCGTCCCCGTCGACCCCAGCCTGAACGCGCAGGTTTTGAGTGCTACATCCCCGCCCGACCAGAAGGAGTCGTACGGCATCGTCGAGCTGATCATCAATGTATTGGGCTTCGCCGACGACGCCAACTTGGTCACGAAGCAGACGTACGCGAAGGCAGTAGAGAAGCAGGCCATCGACATCCTCGCGTCCATCGGCGAGATCGCCCACCAGGGTAAGACGGAACGCGTCGCCATCGGTAAGAAAGGTACCGCTCTGCCTTGGATGGCAGCTGCACAACGGATACGGCCAAGAGACCCGAGGCAGCCCGCAACATCTGGAGACCTCTTTATCGAAAATTGCCGCGATTGGGGATTACACGACGATTACGAGCGCAGGTGTGCAGGGCCACTGTGTATGCAGCATTATTGTTCGGCGCCGAGATCCGCACGTTCTCGCAAACCGAGCTGGACCAATACAGATCCTTTCTCAATCGCGTGCTCCGTGGAGTTAGCTACGACTCGCGTGCCAAGTTCGGTACCCTTCGCGACATGGAGGGACAGTACACGATGGTGGATATCAGATTGAGCACCGGTTTGGGCGACGTCGAGACCATGATCGTGAAGAAGCAGTTGGGTTACATAGGACATTTTGCACGATATGCACCAGAGCGAGTCGAGCGTCAGGTACTTGGTCTTGTGGCGGCGGCTTCCTTGCGACAGCCTCACAAACGTCGAAGGTACCTGCGAGACACATATTGGACTCGCATTGTGGAAGTTGTCACAGCCCTCGGGCACCAGGAGGCGAATGCCCAGCAGGTCTGGTTATCGATTGCGCGTGATTTCGCTCATGGATCTAAGCTCGTTGTCGCCAAGTACCGTGCTAAAAATGAGATGGGCACGTGGCAGCACCGACGCCATGGACCGCTCACTGTTGTGGACAGTCAAGCAGTTGTGGCACTTCAAACGTTGGACGATCGAGGACGAGCTCAGTGCTCGAGGTGCCGAGGCTGGTTTTCCAACATCAGGTCTCACCTGCGCTCGCGTGTGAGGAAGCCAGTTGGAAGTACTTGCGCAGTTGTACAAGGACAAAAACAGCGCTTGTCATGTTCACGTTGGTTTTCGGACATGAATGCTCATAAGAAGTATTGTCGTGGCCCCCCTTCCACCACCTCCTCCTGCTGCTGTCCCCCGCCCTGCTCGTCGCGTTCGTCGGAAGTGCGGCCCCCATGTATATCAGCAGGTAGCCGCCTCCAGCGCCAGCGCGCTCAGCGACACCAGCAGCGAGCGCGGCAGCACCAGCAGCGAGCGCAGCAGCACCAGCAGCAGCACCACTACGAGTTCGACGACGTCTTAAACGCCAAACCCCAGGAGCTGAAGCATATGTGGTAGGACACACACGAGCTGATCACAAACGCATGGCACATAAGCAAGCGAGCCGAGCCCCGACCAAGAAGCGAGCGCCTCGGAACTACTATAAGCGAGCAGCATCGAGCGACACACGTATATGTACACGCACATCGGCGGCTAAAACAGCAGGTAAGTTCGAGTGCACATGGTGCCATGAGTTCTTTTCTACCAGAACGCACAGATATAATTGCAAGAGCATGCCATATTCGGAGCATCAGAAGCAGGTCTTGAGAAAGCTGACCACCTCAGCGCCAGCCAATGTTATTGCCCAGTGGACGGTTGCATGCCAACATTGTGAACTGACCTTCGCCCATGAGAGAGCCATGCGAGCGCGCCGCGCACAGCGTTATGGACGCCGTGTCGCCGCAGGGCTCAGGGTTCCGCAATAAGCATATGCTGAGTGTCTTCCTCCTGTACCTCTGCCACCTCTACTACCGTGGCCGACGCTCTCGGCGCGGCCCTGGCAGCGGCGGGCAAGGAGGGCGCCGGCGGGGAGCAGGGCAAGGGCTCTGGCAAGAAGAGTGGCACGCTACAGAACAGGCTTCGGGCAGTGGAAAACGTTCTTCACCAGCGCGAACGTTCGATTCACCTGCTCGAGGACCGCTCGTCATTTGTCTTTATCGCACGAGGAGAAGCGGAGAAGGCGAAGGTGGCCCAGCTCCGCGACGCTCACAGAGCAGCGGAGACAACACGTCAGGAAACGCACGAGAAGCAGGTTTCGGAGGCCAAGGCTGCCAAGAAGGATGTGCCCAGCATCCCACCTCACCCTCGCGGCTCACTGCGCTCGCTGTTGTTCGCCCACTTGATGGGGGAGATCAACGAGGCCGTTCCTCAGGACGCGGGGGCGCCGAAGGAGATGGCCAAGTGGCTGGCTGGGTTGGTGGTCACGCAAGTCAATCTCCTGGTGTTCCGCGTGAAGTCAGAGCGCAGGGGGCCGCGCGACGGGCGGCCGCGGGCGTGGGGGGCGCTGCGCTCCGACCATCTCAGCGAAGAGGCAGGGAAATTCCATCAGGCCCTCGCTATTGTGATCGACTGGAGTCGCGCCAACAAATCTACCGCATCCAAGTCCACCCAGATCGCTTCGATGCACGCGCAGGACGGGCCGACGATCAAAGGGCCCATGAGCCTCCGAAAGAAAGGCGGCGCCAAGGGAGAGGAGGAGGACGAGGAGGAGGACGATGCGATGGGAGGCGACGGTGGCGGTCAGCCCAAGCAGCGGAGGAAGAAGCGATAGTGAGACTTTCGATATGTAGTCTCGAATTTCAGAAGCGAGCTTGGTGGCCTTTGGATTATATATAGTGTGGTTCGTCGCAGTATGAGGGGGTGGATCCAAGTTTTGATGTTGCCGAAGCTACCAGTCTACCGCTACCAGTGCGTCATCATCCTGATCGTCATTTTTGGTTGTGGCTCCAGGCGGCTTGTTCCCGTGCCGCCTCGGCGGCTTTCGCCGCCTGGGCCTGCGCCGCCTCGGCGGCCCCTGCGGGTCGGCGCGACTGGGTGCCCTCGGAATCCGCCCCTACCACAGCGTTGGTTGGCGGGAGGCTGGCTCTTTTGTTGCGGCGCGCTGGCCTGCTGGGGCTCGAAGCCGGGCGAATTCACTTCTACGACGTTGAACTGTATACCACGTTGACGCGGTCCACGAACCTGTCCAGCACAGGTCCACATGCGAGATCCTGGACTGGGCCTTCGAGCGCATGCAGCTGGCGCTGCAAGCGCTGCACTGGCCGCGGCGCCATGAAGTTCTACGTGACTGGCGAGGCGCTCGCTAAGGACATGGGCGTTCCCATTTCTGTGCTGGAGCAGACTCACAAGGGGCATTTCGAGGCTGGTAAGAAGACCGAGAAGGGCCCGGACGGCAGCTCATTCCCGGCATACCACAGCGGCAAGTCTTGGGACGAGGCCAGCGGTAAGACGGGTTCGGGCAAGAAGTTCAACCACAACGTGATCGACGGCCCCGCGGTGAAGAGCGAGCCCTTCTACGCGGCCATCATCTTGCCAGTGATCCACTACTGCATGGGCGGCCTCGAGATCGACGCGGACTCCGCCTGCGTCGGCGCCAACGGCAAGGCCATCCCGGGGCTGGAGGCGGCCGGCGATGGCAACAATCGCTTAGGGGGCAATTCGTTGCTGGACAGCGTGGTGTTCGGCCGCGCGGAGGGCCTCGCCGCGACCAAGTGCACGTTGGGCGCGGACTGCAAGCCCGCGAGCCTCAAGGACCTCTCTGGCGGAGGCCACACCGGCGAGGTGACGGCGCCCAAGAACGCGGGCGGCTCGCACGAGGATGGCATGAACAAGGGCGCGGAGGGCGGAAAAGGCAAAGGGCGGCGCCGCGCCTGCCGGCAAGGGCGGCGTCAAGGGCTACTCCATGGAGGAGGTGGCCAAGCACGCCAGCAAGACTGACTGCTGGATGGTCGCGGCTGGCGAGGTGCTCGACGCGACCTCGTTCCTGAGCCAGCGCCCCGGAGGCGAGCTGGCCATCCTCGCGTTCGCCAGGGAGGGCGCCACCGAGGAGTTCAACATGATCCATCCTCCGGACGTGATCCCGAAGTGCGCCCCCGCCGCCGCCACCGGCGCGCTCGGCGCAGGGGGCGGCGCGGCCCCGGCGGCGGCGGCCGGCGCCTCGGCAGCGACGGCGGCCGCGGCGGGAGGGCACGGCGCGCGCGATTGGAAGCTGGCGAACGACAACCGCAACAAGAGGATGGGCGAGTGCGGGCGCGTCCTGGGGCCCATCGGGGCTCTGGTCTACATGGTCATCGCCTTCATGAAGGAGGTCCTCTTCACGATCTTCGGCCGGAAGAACTTCCAGTTCACCAACGACCACATTGGCCCGACGCGCTCCGCAATGTTCACGTTCATCTTCATCATCACCCACGCAGTCGGCAACCTGCGCGCGTTCCTCGGCCCGGACGACTTCAACGGATATGGATACTTCTACGTCCGCCTCTTCTGGGCGGGTTTCGGCTTCAACGCCAACATCGTCGAGAAGTACATCCTGCTCGCCGCGCTGCTCCACGTAGCGGTGGGCCTGAGGCGCGCCTGGGACATCTCGATCAACTACACCATCGCCTCTGGCAAGCTCAACCTCGCGATCTCGGGCATCACGCTGCTGACCTTCATGAGCATCCACTTTTTCCAGCTCCGCTTCGGCGACGCGCAGCCGTGCGAGCTGTGCCCGCCACCGTGCCTAATCAACGTGGCCACCCTGCTGGAGCCGAGGCTGAATCTCTTCTGGGTCCACGACGCCGACTGCGTCAAGGCGAGCGTCCGCGACATCTACCGCATGGAGTTCGAGGTCTTCCAGTCCCTCGGCTGGTGCCTCTTCTACATCAGCGCCGTGGCCATCTTCGCCGCGCACATGCGCCTTGGCCGGCAGAAGACTGCCCCGGCGCCTGCGCTTGAGATCCCCAAGCGTTTCCACAACAAGGCGATTCACATCGGCTACATCATGGCGGCCTTCATCGCGCTGGTCTACGTCAGCCCCCCGCCCTACACGCACATCTTCCCGATGTCAGACGGGGCGATCACCTCGGAGGCCCCGCTCCCCGCCCCCGTCGCCGCCGCGGGCCCGGCGCGAGCGGGCCAGCGACCCTAGACCCAGCGCTTCGCAGGACTCTGCGGCCTCGCGATCGTGCTTCCCCTTCGCCCCTGTTCCCCAAGCAGCGCTTGCACTTGGGAGTTCCTTCGCGGTTTCCGAGCAACTGGCATGCATTTCCACGTGTCCGCCACGCCCCAGCCCGCGAGCGCCTCATGGGCGCTGCGTTCGCTGGGTTGTTCGCCTGATTTCCGTCTGGGGCAGCCCGCGGCCGCTTGGGGCGCCTCGTGCGCTGGTTGGCGGTTCTAGATTTGGCCCTGGTTGCGGCCTGCGTCCGCTCGCGGGCGCCTAGTGGGCGCCCCGTGCGCTAGTTGCACCGCGGAGCTGGCGCCACATAGCTTCCACCACATACATTCCTTTTTCAACATAAGGATACAGTCTGTCACCCTCTCACCCCTGGACTCATCGGTACCAATTTGGATAGCGCAGTTTAAACACGATTCTGCCTTGTCGCCCACTCCCCACATGAAGTCATACCACCCCAGCCCAACTGGCATCGAACCCCCCCTCCCATACTTAAAAAATTTACTACGCGCGCACCCGTGCATCTCATGTGACAATCATTCGAGAATTCCTTTCAACAGCTGCACTAAGTCCGCACAAGCGCTCATACCAAAATCAAAGGCCAAGCACGTTAGGTACGCACCTGCTGAAATTAAGGGGGGACCATTCGAGTTCGGCCAGTTCGCCCTGAACCCGCATTAGCATGTCACCACGCTGTGCATCAGCGTTGATCTAGCGTGCGCCCAGTGCACGAACCGGTCTCGAAGAATAGCGCGCGGGCCACAAGCGTGCGCCGCCACGCGCGCGTGTCGAAACCCTCTTCAAATTCATAGGTGTTCGAAGCATTTCAAGGTAGAGGTTCAGCAAAAACATGCCCGAAACAACAATCGCCTCCATTGCCACCATCATCAGACCAATCACTTCCACTGCTGACACAGGGACGTCATCGTAATCAGCATTATCGTTATCATCATCAGCATCAGCATGATCATCATCATCCGTCATCACATTTCGTATCATCACCCTCACAGTATCACCACCGCCATCATCATCAGCAGCAGCATCACCATCGCCATCAGCTTCATCAGCATCATCAGCAGCATCACCATCTGCGCGCCGCCGTCATTGGCCTCGTCGTCGTCATCGTCATCATCGCCACCACCGCCACCACCAGCACTTTCATCATCGTCGCCGCTGTTGCCAATGTCATCATGGCACCGCGCCAACCCGAGGCGCCGACCCGCGCTGAAGTGCCAGCGCGCTAGCGCCGCCATTCAGACGCGCTGGGAATTGTCCACCGGTAAGCGTTGCTGTGGCCGCATCAGTTGTGCCAAACCAGCTGGTAGCCCTGCGCGCGAGCGTTCGCGCGCCAGCGCGGTCGTACAGATGCGGTAGCATGTGTCAATCCGTTGATGCAGTCGCGGCCGCATGGGTTTTATCCGAAAACATGCGGATGGGACGGTTGGGATGTTTGCGCGAGCATTGACAAGTTCTGCCAGGTATATTCTCCTGTCTGAAAAGAAATAGGTTCTACCACCCCCCACCCCCGCCGCATTTAACCATACATATAGTTCTGTCCCGTCGTCCATCCTCAATACGAAATTGCACTATCCCAGGGGCGGGCCGGCATCGCCCCCCCCCCGCCGCATTCAGCAAAAAGTTCTACGCGCGAACACCCACTTATCAAACATCAAAGGTTTCAATAATCCCTTTCAACAAAATAAGACGAAGTGCACGCGCGCGCGTCGTCGCGCGCATGCCGGAATCCTTTTAAAAAGCTTTCGGTATCGGAAAGATCTCAAAACCGAGTTCCCAAAGAACATACAAAAACACATGGTTTCGCAACTTTAATTCCCCAGCAAAAATTACGCGAACGCTCTTGCGAAATCTTTTTTTTTCCCGGAAAGAATTCAAGATTTTGGGAAAATGCTTCCAAAAAGGCGTCGCGCGCGCATATCGAAATCGTTCGAACGCCCTTGCACGCGTGCCGACGCGAGAATCCTCTGCAACAAATGGGACGAAGTTCACGCGCGCGCGTCGTCGCGCGCGCATGCCGGAATCCTTCAAAAACCTTCGGTAGCGGAAGGATATCAAAATCGAGTGTCCAAACAACATACAAAAACACAAGGTTTCGCAACACGGCTTTGCAACAAAAGCGTGCGCGCGCTCTTGCGTCGTCGTCGTCATCGTCGCCGTCCTCCCTCGTCCCTCGTCGTCGTCGTCGTCGCCGTCGTCCTCTATCTTTCCTCGTCGTCGTCGTCGTCGTCCTCCTCCTCCTCCTCCTCCTCCTCCTCCTCCTCTTTGGTGTCGTCATCGTTTCCGTCGTCGTTGTAGCCGTGGTCGTCCTTCCTCCTCCCTCGTCGTCGTCGTCCGTCGTCGGCATCTCGTCGTCGTCTCTTCTATTTCGTCGCCGTCGTCGTCGTCGTCGTCTTCCCTCCTCCCTCGTCGTTGCCGTCGTCGGCGTCGCCGCCCTCCCTCCTTCTTCGTCGTTCGCGTCGTCGTTCTCCTCCCTCCTCCCTCGTCGTCGTCGTCGTCGTCGTCTTCGTTGTCGCCGTCGTCGTCCTCCCTCCTCCTCCTTCGTCGTCGTCGTCTTCGTTGGCGACGTCGTCGTCGTCGTCGTCGGCATCGTCGTCGTATTCGTCGGCGTCGTCGTCGTCGGCGGCATCGTCGTCCTCACCGTCGTCATCGTCGTCGTCGTCGGCGTCGGCGTCGTCGTCGGTGTCGTCGTCGTCGTCGTCGTCGTTGTCGTCGTCGCCAAAGTCGTTGCAGTCGTCGTCGGTTTCGTCGTCGTCGTCGGTGTCGTCGTCGTTGTCGCTGTCGTACATCGACATGGACGGCGGCACTCGGACGGACACAAAGAAGAGATTGGAAGCGGCCAGGGCGATATGGAGGTCCATCTACACGGAGCTCCCCAGGCTGGGCATTCCCAAGCAGCTACGGGCGCGGGTGGTACAAGCTACGGTCCTGGCGGCGCTGTTGTTTGGCTCGGAGATTCGGACCATCTCCCAGGGCGAAATCAACGAGTACCGCTCGTTTCTCAACAGAATTATTCGCAATATCTCATACAATGCATACACTAAAGAAGGGGCTCTACGTGGTATGTAGGGCGCTGCTACGATGACGGATCTTCGCATGGCGTGTGGCCTCGAGGACGTGGGATTTCAGTTCATCAAGCGCCAGCTCGGCTATCTCAGCCATTTGGCTAGATATCCAGAAGATCGCATAGAAGGCAGCTGCTGGGAGTGGTGCTGGCTACGTCGTGGCGACCAGAAAGCAAGCGCTCCCGTCATCTTCGTACCACCTATGGGCACCGTATTCGCGAGGTGATGCGAGCTCTTGGCTACCCCGAGCAGGACGTGGCGACCTCGTGGCTGCAGGTGGCCCAGGACCGCGCCCCCTGGACGAAAGGTAGCAAGTTTGTTCTGGATCGCTATCGTTCTCAACTTAACCAAAATATTCGGCATCATCGGCACCATGGAGATCCCGACGAGGCTGAGCGTCTGGCAGTACTTTCCCTTCAAGCTCTCGATCGCGAAGGCCGCGCGCGTTGTGCACGGTGCCAGGGCTTGTTGTTTTACATTTGCAGCCACTTGCGAAGTTGCCTGCGCCGGCCTGTTCCTCCGACGCCGGCGGTACGTGCACAGTCACAGTGCCCCGATTGTGGCAGATGGTTTTCAGACTTGAATATGCATCGGCGGTATTGCAAAGGCCCTCCACCTGCACCGCCACCTCTCCCAGTTGTTCGTCCTCCTCTGCGTGTTCGTCACAAGCTTGGCCCCTCGAAGGTCTCCGGGGGCGCCCCTGAAGTCGCGGCCCCAGCAGCCAGCAGCAGCGTTCAGGAAAGCGGGGCCCGTCTTGTTCGTAAACGCCCAGCAGCTTCGCCCCCCCCGTCGACCCTCGCGATGATCGTCGAGCCCCTCCACCTCATCACGATGATGACCCGCCAGTTCGCCTTCCTCCTCCTCGTCGAGTTCGCCGCCGTATTTCGAAGAAGGTTCCAGGAGTACGTGAGTATGTGGTTGGCCCTAGGCTCGGCTCTCGGCGCATCGCCTATAAGCAGGCCCCTCGCGGCGCGGCCATGAAGCGAGCCCCCGGAAATTCGTATAAGCGGACGGCCGACAGCGATGCGAGACGGGCCACAGCAACATCAACAGCTAAAACGGCAGGAAAAAATCTGCGCCCGCGGTGCGAGGAGCATTTCTCATTCGCAACGCACATATAGAATTGCAAGGCTATGCTGTATTCAGAATTTGTGAAGCAAGTAGAACGCAAGAGACAGAAATCAGCACCAGCAGCAGAGATAGCGACTTGGACGCGCGCGCGCCCTCACTGCAACACACGCTTTGCACCCGAACGAGCAGCGCGTGCACGCAAGACCCAGTGCAGAGATCGCCGTCTAGCTGCCGGTCTCAGAGTTGCCCCATTCATGACTCCCTTTGCCGTGTTCTTGGCCTGCAGCCTCGTGGCCTTCAACCTTTCCTCCGGGGCCCATGGCCGACGGTCTCGAGCGGGCGCCGAAGGCTCTGGGCGCGGCGGGCTCCAAGGGCGCGGCGGGGGGGGGGGGGCAAGGGCAAGGGCGATGGGGCAGAGCAAGCAAGGGAACTTCCAGAACCTCCCGCGGGCGCTGGAGAACGCGTTGGCGGCCCACGAGCGCAAAGCCCATTTGCTCGTGGATCGCTCCTCGCTCGCGATTTTGGTCAAGAGCAAGGAATTGAAGGCCGAGGCCGAGAGGCTGCGCGATGCCCACCGCGCGGCGGAGGCGACCCGCCAGGAGAAGCACACCCAGGCGCTGTCCGAGGCGAAGGCCGCCAACAAGGCGGCCCCGACCATCGAGGCGCATAGCATGTGCTCGCAGCGGGCGCTCCTCTTCGCCATCGAAGAAGCTGGCCGCGCTCGTCCCTGCGGAGGCGGGCGCCCCGAAGGAGGCCGTCACCTGGCCGGCGCCCCTCAAGACGGCCCAGGTCAACGCCGTCGTTTTCAGGATGAAGGCGAAGCACGACGCACCGAAGGAGGGGCGGCCGCGGGTTCGGGGTGCCCTGAGGTCCGACTCGCACTCGGCGGATATGCAGCGGCTGGAGGTCGCCCTGAGCAGCGTGATGGATTAGAGCAAAGCGAATCGGGCGGGCGCGGCTCAGGCCCCCCCCCCCGATGCACGCGCAAGACGGGCCGACGATCAAGTGGTTGATGTCGCTCAGGACTGGCGGCGGCAAGAAGCAGCAAGAAGAAGAGGGCGAGGAGATGGAGGCACCCGAGCAGCCGACAAAGCCCAAGCGAAAGTAATTTTCTATGAGTGCCCCATGCAGGTTCCCGCGGTCTTCCTGGCTTTCGACTCGCAGCGCAGTTGGTGGTTGGAGCTGGGTTGTAGATATCCTCTTTTTCCCGACGCTCGTCATCGTCTTCCTCTTTACCCCGCGGCGGGCCCGAGGAGCTTCCCCTGGGGGGGGGGCTCAGGCGCCGCCGTGGGGCGCGCCGCCTCGGCGGCCCCTGGGGCTGCCTCGCTGGCCCCCCGTCGGGGGGCATCGGCTGCGGCTACTACGACAGAGCGGGCGAGAGGCTATCTGCCGTGGAGGCGGTTCTTCTGGGGCGCGGTGGCGGCAAAATTCACTGGCGTTTTACGATTGCACTGGCGCGGCCCTCGCATCAGTCTGCAACATCCACGATGCCCCCTCAGGCTGGGCCTTCGAGCGCATCCCGCCAGCACTGCAAGCGCTGCGCTGGCCGCGGGCCACGGATTGGCGAGGCGCTCGCCAAGGACACGGGCGTTCCTGTTTCCGTGCTGGAGCAGACTCACAAGGGGCATGTCGAGGCCGCTAAGAAGACCGAGAAGGGCCCGGACGGCGGCTCATTCCCAGCCTACCCCAGCGGCAAGTCTTGGGGCGAGGCCAGCGGTAAGACGGGTTCGGGCAAGAAGTTCTACCCTCTCGCGGACATCTACCTCATTCCCTTCGCTCTTTTGCACGCCGCGGGATACGCCCAGGGGGTCGGCGCGAGCGTGGAACACCTCAACTGTGCTTCGGCACCGCCCCTACGGGAGCGCTGATTTTGAGCGCGGCTAACAGATGACATCGGCCACCACATCGGTGGCTCGGGTTCGCCATCTTTTTTCGCAAGGGGGGGGGCCTGGCCCTCAGGGGCAAAATGAGTAACCTGTAGTTGGTCGAGGACAGTCGCGGCGGGCGCCCAGCGTGGTGATCACTGATCAGGAGGATGGCACCGTTGCCCGCACTGGACGGCGAGCCAATCGACAATCACCAAAGGCGCCACCCGGCGCCCAGTGCACCTCTTACGGAGAGTTGGAAGTTCGCGGTGCAGAACGTTCAGGGCCTGAACTGGAGGCTTATAGCCCACCGTGATAAGCTATGGCACCTACTGCATGCCGCAACGTCGGAGACGTGGGACTTGGCCTTTTTGTCCGAATATCACGGCGAGGAGCAGTGTCGAGTCTATCTTGAAGAGTTCCTTCTTCTTACAAGTGGACGCGCTGCGCTTTTACTTGGGCCTCGCGCCCGGCACGCATGTGAACAGGGGGGCGGACGCTGGCATCACAAAGGAGATCGTCTAGTTGTCGCCCGCCTTCGCTTTGATAACAACGAGTGCTACAACATGATTGGCATTTATGGTCCGACCGGCGTGGCTGCAGCAGAGTTTCGCCCATGGCACCAACGTGTTTTTGAGTTCCACCATCGTTTAAGCATTCTGGGAGGTACACAAATTCGGGGAGGCGATTTCAACGCACATCGCGGCCCCGTTTTCTATTACGACTCTCTCCATACTGGCTCGCGCTGCTTACCCGCCGCCACAACAGCGGCGGGGAAGAAGTGGATGCAACTTTTGTCAGAGACTTCAGTATCGCTCGCTGACTCCTTCTTGTCATTATCTCGACGTGGCACGTGGCAACATCCGCAGACAGGCATGTGGTACGAATTGGACGGGATGCTGATTTCCACGACGCATAAATCCAGTGCACAGCGCATTCGACAACAGCTTCGCCACAGATTTTCTGATCATGTGGGACGGGTTTACCTTCTGCACATGGGAACGGAAGCAGGACGCCGACAGAGACGTGCTCGACGCGCTGAATTTCTGGCCATTCACTACTGGGAGACACGCAAACAGGACCCCGCCCCTTCCGAACTCAACGTCGGCCTGCTCAGCGGGAAGAGCGAATGTACTTCTATGCGCCGCCGGCTCATTCAGCGACGAGTGTAAGATAAGCTCCCGGACCTCCCGCTGAGCGACCCGTGGCCTAGCTCTTGCTTTACTGGGACTGGATCATCGAGCTCTTCTCCTTGGGCCACTCTTCGCGTCGCGGTGACAGAGGTACCTGACGAAGTGTTGGGACGAGGTCGCCTGCGTCCTTCCTATGGCCTTCCGTGCACCGAAGACGACGCCGTCGCGATCGCCAATCTCTGGACAGATATGGAAGCAGCACGGCGCCGCCTTGCGGGTGCTAAGCGGACGCCCCTGGAACCGACTACCCGGCAGGAGTTCAAAATGGCCAAGCGGAAATGGGAATATTTCAAACGGCTTGCACGCGCCCGATACGTTCGACAAGTCTGTGCAGAGATTATTCGAGCCATGGACATGGGTGATCGGTAGCAGTTCTACGCGTCATTGCCGAAACTGGGGGTCTATACTGCCAGTCGGACCCGCCACAGTGAAGAACCACATGCACTTGACGCCATTGCCAACTTCCTCGAAACTCTCGGGGCCGACCTAGTTGAGGTCACCGACGAGACTATCCAGCGGGGCGTTCCCCCGATCCCGCGCGACGAGAGCCTGGGCGCGCAGCCTGCGGACAAAAGAAATTCTCACAGCACCGACCGAGATGAATGACAGCGCGGCCGGCATCGACGCAATCAGCGTAGGCCTCCTGAAAACACTCGGTGCGAAATGCAAGCAAATGCTGATCCGGGCCGTTTGGGAACTCTGGGGCGCTCGCCCGCAGGACTGGCCGGCCGATGTCGCGGGCGTCTTGGGATTTCGACTTTGCAGGAAAGGCCCTCGGCACGAATTGGGCAACTACCGCGCGCTGTGGCTCATAAATGTGAATGTTCGTCTTATTTGTAAGGTCATAGCAGAAAGACTTCAGCATCACGCAGAATGCAACAACGTCTTCACGCAGACGCAGTGGGGTTCTCGCACGGAACGTAGCACGATCGGCCCATTTTTAATTGCAAGATGCATATTGGACATGGTAGCGGAAATTGGGGAAGTGCCCGCTTCGCGGCTCCTGGCCTTGGTATTACTTTTCTTGGACATCGAAAAGGCTTACGTCTCCGTCCCGCGAGCGGCGGCGGATCCAGTCTTTGAACGCGCCAGGATACCTGAGTCGTTGCGGACAATCATACTTGGTCTCCACGGTTCATGTCAATACCGAGTTCGCACCACAGAATGGGAATCTAGGCTTTTTCAACTTGAAGAAGGGTTCCGCGAAGGCGATCCAAGCAGCCCCGCTTGCTTCAACATTTTCCACAGCAGCGTCACGCACGACCTCCGACCACAGCTATCGACACGTTTTGGGTCAGCGGTGGGAGCAGACATCGGCTGGAGCTCGCAGCAACCCTTGGGCCGACGACAGCACCGTGATCCACCGCGCATTCCGAAAGTCTTTGAACGCCTCGTAGATCTACTTTTTGCTGATGATACCTCCCTCTGGTGTCGAATGCAGGTTCTCCAGGAAGTAGAACACATGGCGCAGCCCATCATGGGGGAGTGGGGAAAAAGGTACACATGGGCAAACAGGAACGACTGGAAGCCGGAAAACGTTCACAACGATCACGACGACGCATTCGCGGCAAAAAGACCCCTGCCCCACCAGCAATGCCCGACCCCGAGACGGAGCAGCACGACAAGGCAGTCAAATTGTTGGGAGGATGGCTGGAACCCAATGGATGCCACAACGTTGACACAGGTAAAAGGATCCAGGCGGCTCGACGTCTCTGGGCTAAGGTTTTTCGACAGCTCTCTCGCCGAGGACTTTCTGACCGAGATCTTGGAAGAGTTCTCAAAACCACAGCGGAGGCCCCCCTTCTATACGGACTGGAATGCCGAGCAGTTACCTCTGTGCAACTCCAGCTAATCAAGAAATTCCACACCAGGATGGCGACGGGGGCCACGGCCACGAAACGCAGTGATATGCACGACCAACAGATCACAATGCAAGATCTACGCAAAGGGCTCGGACTTGACCCAATCCACGTTTCCATCGGAGTCCAACAATTACGCTAGGTAGGAGACATGGCCAGGATGAGCGAGGATCGATGGGAGTGCAAACTTCTACGTGGATGGCTTCGCCCAGAACATGATCTCCCAGCAGCTCGGGGGGCTGGCTTCCGACAGCGCCCCACTACCAGGCAACAGTTGTGGCGGCGCATTCGTGGAGTCATGCAATTCACAGACCATCCAGAGGACACTCGGCAGACGGCATGGTACTCGGTAGCGGCAGACAGGCGACTCTGGAAACGTTTGACGGCCAAGTGGGGAGCCCGCGAACTCAAACGAGCAGCTGAAGATGAATGGGCCAATCGACATGGACCAGATGGAAAGGCCACTCGACGCGAACGCACCCGCTTGCAATCTCGAGAGATCATCCGGGGCATTTCCATTGACGCGAGCGGAAGAGGACAATGCCCTCACTGCAGAGGCCCGTTCACGCAGACGACGCCGGCGCAACGCATGTCCTCACGCATAACCAAAACTGGCGACCAACGGCGCCAAGCAGCAGCTGCCCGAGAACGCCGCTTACACCGAGAAGAACACGGATCTGAAGTGCCAGCCGCGAAACGTTGGCGAGCGGAGCTGGGCGCCATCAAGGCCGCGATTATGACGGCAGCTTCGCGGATGACAACGCGCCCCCTCGCCAAGGCACCTCGCGCCACGCACTCCGCAGCAGATTTGAGCGTGCGTCGGCGATTACGATGAAAACTATCGGCCCCCATCGCTTACCAGACCGCGTGCTTCCGAGCGCAGGGCAAATGACGCCGGCAAAGCTTGGGACTGAAATCGTCTACTTCGCTATCGACGCCCGCACCGGCCACGGTCGCTGCTACCGGGCTCAAGCGGCCACGACTCAAAGGAAAAAGCAGCATGGGCAAACTACGTATTAGATCTACTTCTACCGGGGCATCATCATCAAGCAGGGAAGGCAGAGGAGGAGGAGGCGCGGGACACGGAGGAGGAGGACACGGAGGAGAACAAGGAGACGCATCCAGGACATCCCGGGCCACCCCAACCCGATCAAAATCAGGAAGGCGAAGGGCAAGGAGGAGCATGCTGTGATAGGGCAAAGAAGGCCGACGGCGCTCACAGGTCTACCTGCGCCTTCCAGGCCCCAGGATATGATCTCTCGAAGTGCTCGTTCTGCAACGCTCGTTTTCCAGATACCCGAACATGTTTTATACATATGAAGGTTTGCACAAGTACGCCCTACGACGCGCGGCTTGCTCGAACAAGATACGTGAACGACGTCGCCAGAGTCAAGGCGGAGTTCCCGTGTATTCATTGCTGCACTTGCTATGCCACAGCGCACGGAGTCGCACGTCGCGCCCGCAGTTGCTTGGAGAGACGCGCATTGCATGGGCTCCCCCTGAATTCCAACACGTTTCACAATGTAGCGCCCGACGCAGCTCAAATCGTATTACGCCAACATCGTGGCCGAGTGGGTGCTCAGAAACGCCAGGCCAGTGTTGTGTAATCGACGGGGGCTACAGTTATGGACATGGAGGAGGATGCGCTTACAGTCGCCTGCGTATATTTTCACATCGAAGAGTTGTATAACAGCAATATTGAGTGAACAACTTTTTCTTGGAACTCGTATAGTTGGTGTTGGTGCTCTGCACACGTCATTGATAACCGCTGGTTGGGGGCAGCCCACAGGAATTGCCCTGGGCGCACTTCTCTTCACAATGCCAACCGCTATGGGCAACAACATCCATAGCTTCCTCAGCGCGCCCTCTCATAAACAGCACCAGCACCACCGCCTGCTCCGATTGACTCTCCGCCATCCACCTCAAGCTCTTACTGTTGGTATCCACGGTGTTGGTGCCCTGCACGCGTCATTGATTACAGCTGGTTGGGGGCGGCCCACAGGAATTGCCATGGGTGCACTTCTCTGTTCGCAATGCCAGCCGCTATGGGCATCAACAGCCATAGCTTCCCCAGCGCGCCCCCTCGCAAAAACGGTGCTAACATGAAGATCCACCTACAGCAACTGCACCATACTCGCCATCAGCATTACCTTCATCACGGAGGCGGGAGTGAAGGAGGAGGATTTCACAGAGGAAGGGGGAGTTGCCGAAGTGCTTGCTCGCGGTGCCGAATTGTGCGATGGCGCTGTCAGGTCACAAGCCCGCGTTGCCAAATGCCCGCTCCGGGGTGCTAGATTACAAGCCCGCGGTGCCGAATTACTTGTCCGCGCTGCTATATTGCAAGCCCGCGCTGTCGAAGGTCAGGGTCGCGCCGCCGAATGCCGAGCCCACGCTGCTGCACGAGGCCGGGGGGGGGGGGGCGAGATGATCTCTCGAAGTGCTCGTTCTGCAGCGCTCTTTTCCGGATACCCGAACATGTTATATGCGCACGAAGGTCTGCGCAAGCATGCCCTGCGACACGTGGCTTGCTCGAACAAGATACGTGAACGACGTCGCCGGAGTCAGGGCGAAGTTCCCGCGCGCGCATCGCCGAGGCGGGAGTGAAGGAGGAGGATTTCACAGAGGGGGGAGTTGCCGAAGCGCTTGCTCGCGCTGCCGAATTGCGCGATGGTGCTGTCAGGTCGCAAGCCCGCGCTGCCAAATGCCCAGTCCGGGTTGCTAGATTACAAGCCCGCGGTGCCGAATTACTTGTCCGCGTCGCTAAATTGCAAGACCGCGCTGCCGAAGGTCAGCGTCGCGCTGCCCGACATCATATCCACGCCGCTGCGCGAGAAGGGGGGGGGGGGGGCGGGGGAGGGCAGAAAGTGCACAATGGCCCCGGGCCAGGTTTTCAACAAATATTGGACACTCCCGTATCGGAGCCTGTGCGGACGGAGCAGTGGGCAGCTGTCAGGGGACGGGAGATCATTTTGCAAATCTCTGCCAATGATTTCATGTTGTAGCCAGTTCGGCTAGGGCTGTCCGTGCATCAGCGCGCGGCCATCGTCGTCTCTTGTAACACTACTCTTCAGCAACGGACGCCACAGCCATGCGGGCGGCACTGGCAGCAGCTCAGAACGACCAGGCTGCGCCGGCACGCCCAGGCCGGGCCCCAGACGGCACGGGTGCGCGGGGCAGCAACGGCGATGCTGACGTGCTCACGGCGCTCTTGCGTGATCATTTATTTCTCAGACGAGAGATGCGGCCTGTAGCAGATGCAGTTCAAATAGCCGTATTTTTTCGTGGCAAGGCAGAGACGGACGGTTTCTACATTCTCGGTCAGAAGTGGGCGAGCAACCACCCCGAGGGAGGCGGAAAGAAGCGCAAGGCCGAGGGCGAGGGGGGCATGGCGGTCGACGGGGGGAAGGGCGCCGCGCCTATCTCCAAAGGTTCCGCGGGGGCCTCGGCGGAAGGGCGGCGCGCCCCGCCCGCGGGGCCACAAGAAGACTTTCATGCTCCACGCGTTCTTTACCAGGATGCGCGAGACGGCGCCCGGTCTGGAGCCTGACAAGACCGCCGGCCTCACGCCGCAGGCAAAGGAGGCCGGGGACATGCACCTGGCTATGTTCACGCAGCTCGGGCCCAAAGACCTCGACCGGTTGTTCTCTGGGATCGCGTCGCGCTACCCGAAGCCGATGGGCGACAGGACGTGGTTGTGGGCGCCCACCGTCAATCTCGTGATGATCCCCGAGGACCTCCGGCTCAGCTTGGGTCATGTCATGGAGATGGCAGAGTGCGACGGCGTAGATGTCAAGGTGGAGTTGAAGCAATCCAACCAGGGGAAGCCCGAGGAGCAGCTCTGGACGACGCTCAGGGTCAGGGAGCGTCGGCGCTAGTAGATGCAGCCGGGTGGCGCCGGCGGCGACGGTGCTCAGGGCTTGGTTTTCTGGCTCGCGGGGCACCCTGGCCCCCCCGCCCACTGAGGGGGGCCGGCGCGCGCCTGGCTCGGACACGGGCTGAGCTTCTCTCCACCCTTCGCAGTTTTTTTCCGCAGGTAAGGGGTGTCGCGCCGACTCGTCCCACGACGTTCTCCGGCTGATCATCGCTCAGCACTGTCATCGTTTTCCGGCTGGCCGGGCGAGGGGCGCGACAGCATTGAGAAGAGGGCTGCTGATTATTTGGATTTTTGCATGCGTTGGACACGTCGCAGCACGATGACACCAGCATCTGCGACTCGTCCGCCACCCAAGTACGACGGCAATATTTTTCAGACACGTCTTAGTTCACTTCGTACGCCATGCCTCAGATATGCGCGCCACGGCGGACTCCAATTTTTGGAAGGGGGGCAGTTGCTCGGCCACCCGCACTTTGTCAACGTGCTGTTTTCGGTCGTCTTCCTCGGCGGCTACTTGCTTATCCTTGACCTGCCCGAGGGCTTCTCCGAGCTGGGCGACAGCTCCTCCGGCGCGACTGACACGCGCGAGGATTTTGCTCGCGACCGAGGAGGACGAGTGGGGAAGAGGCACTTCTGATGCACCTGTTCGTCTTCCCTATTTGTGCATTTCCCCTTCCACCTCAGAAGTTCTACCAGGGCGTATTCGACGGCCCCGCGGTGAAGGGCGAGCCCTTCTACGTGGCCATCATCACGCCAGTGATCCACTGCTGCAAGGGCGGCCTCGAGATCGACGCGGACTCCGCCTGCGTCGGCGCCAACGGCAAGGCCATCCCGGGGCCCCGCGCGGCCGGCGAGGTCGCCGGCGGCGTGCGCGGCAACAATCGCTTGGGGGGCAATTCGTTGCTGGACTGCGTGGCGTTCGGCCGCGTGCCGGGCCTCGCCGCGACCAAGTGCATGCTGGGCGCGGACTGCAAGCCCGTTAGCCTGAAGGACCTCTCTGGCGGAGGCTTCACTGGCGAGGCGACGGCGTCCAAGAACGCGGGCGGCTCGTGCGAGGATGGCATGAACAAGGGCGCGGAGGGCGGAAAGGCAAAGGGCGGCGCCGCGCCCGCCGGCAAGGGCGGCGTCGAGGGCTACTCCATGGAGGAGGTGGCCAAGCACACAAGCAAGACCGACTGCTGGGCGGTCGTGGCCGGCGAGGTGCTCGACGCGACCTCGTTCCTGAGCCGGCGCCCCGGAGGCGAGCTGGCCATCCTCACGTTCGCCGGGGAGGGCGCCACCGAGGAGCTCAACATGATCCACCCTGCGGACGTGATCCCGAAGTACGCCCCCGACGCCGCCATCGGCGTGCTCGGCGCAGGGGGCGGCGCGGCCCCGGCGGCGGCGGCCGGCGCCGCGGCGGCGACGGCGGCCGCGGCGGGAGAGCATGGTGCGCGCGACTGGAAGTTGACGAACGACAGCCGCAACAAGCGGATGGGCGAGTACGGGCGCGTCCTGGGGCCCACGGGGGCTCTGATCTACATGGTCATCGCCTTCATGAAGGAGGTCCTCTTCACGATCTCCGGCCAGAAGAACGCCCAGTTCACAAACGACCGCATTGGCCTGACGCGCTCCGCGATGTTCATGTTCATCATCATCATCATCCACGCAGTTGGCAGCCTGCACGTGTTCCTCGGCCCGGACGACTTCAATGGGCATGGGTACTTCTACGTCCACCTCTACTGGACGGGCTTCGGCTCCAATGCCAACGTCGTGGAGGAGTGCGTCCTGCTCGCCGCGCTGCTCCACGTAGCGGTGGGCCTGAAGCGCATCTGGGACGTCTCGATCAATTACACAATCGCCTCTGGCAAGCTCAACCTCACGATCTCGGGCATCGCGCTGCTGTCCTTCATGAGCACCCACCTCTTCCAGTTCCGCTTCGGCGACACGCAGCCGTTCGAGCTGTGCCCGCCACCGTGCCTCATCAACGTGGCCACCCTGCTGGAGCTGACGCTGAATCTCTCCCGGGCCCACGACGCCGACTGCGTCAAGGCGAGCGCCCGCGATATCTACCGCATGGAGTTCGAGGTCTTCCAGTCCCTCGACCGGTGCCTCTTCTACATCAGCGCCGCGGCCATCTTCGCCACGAACACGCGCCTTGGCCGGCAGAAGGCTGCCCCGGCACCTGCGCTCGAGATCCCAAAGCGCATCCACAACAAGGCGGTTCACATCGGCTACATCATGAGGGCCTTCATCGCGTTGGTCTACGTCAGCTTCCCGCTCTACGCGCACATCTTCCCGATGTCCGACGGGGCGGCCGCCCCAGAGGCCCCGCTGCCCGCCCCCGTCGCCGCCGCGGGCCCGGCGCGAGCGGGCCGGCGACCATGGGCCCGGCGTTTCGAAGCGCTCTGCGGCCTCTCGATCGCGCTTCTCCATCGCCCCTGTTCCAGCAGCGCTTTCACTTAAGAGGGAGTTCCTTCGTGGTTTCCGAGCAACTGGCATGCATGTCCAGGTGTCCGCCAGGTCCCAGCCCGTGAGCGCCTCATGGGCGTTGCGTTCGCTGGGTTGTTCGCCTGGTCCCCGTCTGGGGCAGCCCGTGGCCGCTTGGGGCGCCTCGTGCGCTGGTTGGCGGTTCTAGATTTGCTCCTGGTTGCGGCCTGCGTCCGCTCGCGGGCGCCTAGCGGGCGCCCCGTGCGCTAGCTGCACCACGGAGCTGGCGCCACATAGCTTCCACCACAGACATTCCCTTTTCAACATGAGGATGCAGTCTGTCACCCTCTCACCTCTGGACTCATCGGCACCAATTTGGGTAGTGCAGTTTAAACACGGTTCTGCTTGATCGCCCACTCCCCAAATGAAGTCATACCATCCCAGCCCAAATGGTATCGACCCCCCCTTTCGTACCTAACAAATATTCCATGCGCGCACCCGTGCATCTCATGCGACGATAATTTGAGAATCCCTTGCAACAACTGCACTAAGTCCACACAAGCGCTCAGACCAAAGTCAGAGGCCAAACACGTTAGGCGTGCACTTGCTGAAATTCTTTACGCTTCGCGTATCCCCACCAGCCCATCTCACAACAACATCTCTTGCGAAGCATGCCGACAGTCGTGTTTTTCAGGCGTGTGTCCGCTTGCCCCCGCATATCTCCCCTGTTCCTCCTTCCTCCTGCCTCCTTTTACATCCTCCTTGTGGGGGGAGCGGGAGATGGTCGAGGCGAAGGAGGAGGGAGAGAAAACTCTCGTCCTGGTGTGAGTCGTTCGGGCCCTTCTTCCTGGTGTGAGTCGTTCGGGCTCTTCGTGGTGTGAGTCGTTCGGGCTCTTCGTCCTGGTGTGAGTCGTTCGGGCTTCTCGTGGTGTGAGTTGTTCGGGCCCCTCGTCCTGGTGTGAGTCGTTCGGGCCCCTCCTCCTGGTGTGACTCGTTCGGGCTCCTCGTGGTGTGAGTCGTTCGGGGCCCTCGTCGTGGTGTGAGTCGTTCGGGCTCCTCGTGGTGTGAGTCGTTCGGGCGCCTCGTCCTGGTGTGAGTCGTTCGGGCCCCTCCTTGTGGTGTGAGTCGTTCGGGCTCTTCGTGGTGTGAGTCGTTCGGGCCCCTCGTCCTGGTGTGAGTCGTTCGGGCTCCTCGTGGCGTGAGGCGTTCGGGCACCTCGTCCCCTTTTGGGGCGTCTTGGGGGCCTCTTGGCGGCCCCAGGGGCTTCTAGGAGCGTCTTGGGTGCCTTGGGGGAGCCTCTTCGGGCCTCTTGGGAGCCTCTTGGAGGCCGTTTGGGGCGTCTTGGGGGCCTCTTGGCGGCCCCAGGGGCTTCCAAGAGCGTCTTGGGTGCCTCGGGGGGGCCTCTTGGGGCCTCTTGGGGGCCTCTTGGGGGCATCTTGGGGGCCTCTTGGAGGCCTCTTGGGGGCCTCCTGGGGGCCTCTTGGGGCCATCTTGGGGCCTCTTGGTGCCTCCTGGGCGCTTCTGGGGGCCATCTTGGAGGGAATCGATCACAGAAGAGGGGAGCTTGAATTACTGTAGCGCTGCCCCCTCAGAAGGGCAAAATGAGGCCAACACCTTTGTAAAATCAATGATTCTGGCTTGAAAGAAGAGGGGAGCTTTAATTAGCGCTGCCCCCTCAGAAGGCCAAAATGGGGCCAAAACCGTAGTAAAATCAATGATTCTGGCTTCAAAGAAGAGGGGAGCTTTTTTTCTCCCTCCCCCCGTCGGGGCCAGAATCCTCGTGAGGGGTGTCGTTTTTTAGCCCTCCCAGGCGTCGAACAAGACCACTCTGACCACCCGCGAGGCGCCCTCTCCAGGCCCAGGGGGAGGGGGTAGGGGGAGGGGTAAACCCCTCCCCGAAGGGGAAGAAGGGGGGTTGAGAACAGAGCGGGCTCTCTAAACCACTCACGCCCAAAGGGCTGGTGGGATTAAGGGGAGACCGTTCGAGTTTAGCCAGTTCGCCCTGAACCCGCATTATCATGTCACCACAATGTGCATCGGCGTTGATCTAGCGCACGCCCAGTGCACGGACCCGCGTCAAAGAATAGCGTGCGGGCCACAAGCGTGCGCCGCCACGCGCGCGTGTCGAAACTTTTTCCAAATCCAGAGGTGTTCGGAGCATTTCACAATAGAGCTCCTCCGACAACCTGTCCGAAACAACAATCGCCTCCATTGCCACCATCATCAGACCAATCACTTTCACTGTTGACACAGGGACGTCATCGTAATAATCGTCATCGTTATCATCATCATCAGCATCATCATGATCATCATCATCCGCCATCAGGTTTCGTATCATCACCATCATACTATCATCATCGTCATCATCAGCAGCAGCACCACCATCGCCATCAGGATCATTAGCATCATCATCAGCATCATCACCAGCATCTGCGCGCCGCCGTCATTGGCCTCGTCGTCGTCATCGTCATCATCGCCACCACCACCACCACCAGTACTTTCATCATCGTTGCCGCTGTTGTCAATGTCATCATGGCACCGCGCCCACCCGAGTCACCGACCCACGCTGAAGTGCCCGCGCGCTAGCGCCGCCATTCAGACGCGCTGGGAATTGTCCACCGGTAAGCGTTGCTGTGGCCGCATCACTTGTGCCAAACCAGCTGGTATCCCTGCGCGCGAGCGTGCGCGTGCCAGCGCGGTCGTACAGATGCGGTAGCATGTGCCAATCCGTTGATGCAGTCGCGGCCGCATGGGTTTCATCCAAAAACATGCGGATGGGACGGTTGGGATGTTTGTGCGAGCAGTGGAGTTGTCGGCTTCAACTTCTGCCAGGTAGATCCTCCTGTCTAAAAAGACATAGGTTCTACCACACACACACACACACCCGGACTTAACCATACATATGGTTCTGCCCCGTCGTCCATCCTAAATACGAATTTGCACTATCCCAGGGGGGGCCGGTATCGCCCCCCCCCCGCCGCATTCAGCAACAAGTTCTATGCGCGCACACCCACTTATCAAAAAACAGAGGTTTCAAGAATCCCTTGCAACAACTGGGACGACGTGCACGCGCGCGCGTCGTCGCGCGCGCATGCCGAAATCCTTCAAAAACCTTCGGTCTCGGAAGGATTTCAAAATCGAGTTCCCCAAAAAACATACAAACACACAAGGTATCGCAACACAAATTCCCCAACAAAATTTACGCGAGTGCTCTTGCGAACCTTCTGTTTTTGAAGACAGTTTTCATGATTTTGAAAGTATGCTACCAGAAGGGCTTCGCGCGCGCATATCGAAATCGTTCGAAGGCCCTTGCGCGCGTGCCGTCGCGAGAATCTTCTGCAACAAATAGACGAAGTGCACGCACGCGCGTCGTCGCGCGCGCATGCCGAAATCCTTCAAAAACCCTAGGTTTCGGAAGGATATCAAAATCGAGTGTCCAAAAAACATACAAAAACACATGGTTTCGCAACACGGGTTTTCAACAAAAGCGTGCGCGCGCGCTCTTGCGTCGTCGTCGTCATCGTCGTCGTCCTCCCTCCTCCCTCGTCGTCGTCGTCGTCGCCGTCGTCCTCTGTCTTTCCTTGTCGTCGTCGTCGTTCTCCTCCTCCTCTTTGGTGTCGTCGTCGTTTCCGTCGTCGTTATCGCCGTGGGCGTCCTTCCTCCTCCGTCGTCGTCGTCGTCGTCGTCGTCCGTCGTCGGCGTTTCGTCGTCGTCCCTCCTATTTCGTCGCCATCGTCGTCGTCGTCGTCTTCCCTCCTCCCTCGTCGTTGTCGTCGTCGGCGTCTCCGTCCTCCCACCTTCTTCGTCGTTCGCGTCGTCGTTCTCCTCCCTCCTCCCTCATCGTCGTCGCTGTCGCTGTCGCCGTCGTCGTCCTCCCTCCTCCTCCTTCGTCGTCGTCGTCTTCGTTGGCGACGTCGTCGGCGTCGTCGGCGTCGTCGTCGTATTCGTCGGCGTCGTCGTCGTCAGCGGCGTCGTCGTCGTCGGCGGCGTCATCGTCGTCGTCGGCGTCGGCGTCGTCGTCGGTGTCGTTGTCGTCGTCGAAGTCGTCGCAATCGTCGTCGAAGTCGTCGCAATCGTCGTCGGTGTCGTCGTAATCGTCGCCGTCGGTGTCGTCGTCGTCGTTGTCGCTGTCGTCGTCGGCGTCGGTGTCGTTGCCAAGTGCAATTTGGTACCTCCCCTCACGGTCTTAAGAGGTCTTGCGACCAAGTTGTGGGTGGGAGGTTGGGATGTTTGCGCGAGCAGTAGAGTGGACAACTTCAAGTTGAGCAAGTCATCGATTGCACCCCGTAGGTTGCTCCATTGAAGTAGCCTGCGCTACACCTGCTTCACCACGGGGTGCGGCGCACAGCTTCTCCCACGGCGCTTGCACCGCACAACGTCCACCACAGAGCCTGCACGTCCAGGGTGCACAGACTGACCGTTTGGGGCCCACGCTGGCAGCAACGATTTCCGCCATCCCTCCATCTTGCACCCCCTTCTTTCCAGTGCTCCGTCCAATCGCGAGCCCGCGCGTCGCGGCCGCGGCTGTCACCGGCGCTGCCGATGGTCACGGGCTAGAAATAGTCCCGCGTGGGGAGGGGGCAGCTCGCTCGAATCACTGGAAGGCGCGGCCGGACACAGGCATGATCTCGGGCTGCAATCTCGGATGCGTGTGCGCAGGTCCCCCCCGGGGGTCGCGGAAGGACTCAGAGCCGCGGGCGGTCTCGTGTGACACTCGCCGCTGGAAGGGCGAGCCCCATGAGGTATGTTTTTGTGTGTGCCCCATCCCTCGGCCCCCCCTCATCCACCTCATCCTCCTCTTCCCCCCGGATCCCTCTGGCTCAAGCCCATTTTGCAGCATTGGCTAGGGTGTATAGCTAAATTTGTCAGAGCCTACACCTGACGGTGTTGTCTTCACTGCTATACACTCGGCAGGCAACCATGGCTCCCCTCACCATGGCGGAAGTAGCCAAGCACACCAGCAAGACCGACTGTTGGGTAGTGGTGGCTGGTGAGGTGCTCGACGTGACCTCGTTCCTGAGCCAGCACCCTGGAGGCGAGCTGGCCATCCTCACGTTCGCCGGGAAGGACGCCACCGAGGAGTTCAACATGATTCACCCTCCGGACGTGATCCCGAAGTACGCCCCTGACGCTGCCATCGGCAAACTTGGGGCAGGCGGAGGTGAGGACAAGCCGAAGAAGGAGAAGAAGGAGAAGAAGGTGAAGTCAGCCGGCGGTGGCGGCGGTGGCGGCGGCCTCACCATGGCGGAGGTGGCCAAGCACACGAGCAAGACCGATTGCTGGGTGGTCGTGGCTGGTGAGGTGCTCGACGTGACCTCGTTCCTGAGCCAGCACCCTGGAGGCGAGCTGGCCATCCTCACGTTCGCCGGGAAGGACGCCACCGAGGAGTTCAACATGATTCACCCTCCAGACGTGATCCCGAAGTACGCCCCTGACGCCGCCATCGGCAAACTTGGGGCAGGCGGAGGTGCCGACGAGGATGACGACTCGGACGAGGACGACGACTCGGATGGTGATGAGGAGGAGGTTGTCGGTGGCGGCGGCGGGTACAGCCCGGAGGAGGTGGCGAAACACGTTACCAAGGATGACTGCTGGGTCATCCTCGGCGGAAAGGTGCTCGACGTTACCTCCTTCCTGTCGCAGCACCCAGGGGGCGAGCTGGCGATCCTCACGTTCGCCGGCAAGGACGCCACGGCGGAGTTCGACATGATCCACCCGCCCGACGTGGTCGGCAAATACGCGCCAGACGCCGTCATCGGCGACGTCGGCAGTGGCGGCGGCGGCGCGAAGAAAAAGAAAGAGAAGGCGCCCAAGAAAGGCGGCAAGCCAGTCATCCTGGACAAGGGCGGAAAGATCGCCAACCACCAGGCCTGGGGGCACCTGGACGGCCGGGACAATTGGCGCGAGGGCGTCATGGACAGCAACCCGGGCGTGTTCTTGATCAACGTGCGGGCCTATTTCTACGCCGCTTGGTACCTGCTGAGCGCCGTCCTCTACGAGGTCGCCGCGACGATCTTCGTCAACAAGAACTTCAAGATAACTGGCGATCGCGTCGGCCTCACCCGCAGCGCGATCTTGCTGGTCCTGTTCATCGTCATCCATGCCGTCGGCAACCTTCACGTATTCAAGGGCCCCGATGACTTCAACGGCTACGGCTACTTCTACGTGCGCCTGTACTGGACTGGCTTTGGGCTCCCCGCCAACATCGTGGAGGAGTACATCCTGCTCTCGGTCCTCCTGCACGTGCTCGCGGGCCTCAAGCGCACTTGGGACACGTCCCTCGGCATGTTCAAGAACAATCCGCGAGCACTCGACCTCGCCTGCACGGGCCTGGTCCTGCTCACCTTCATGACGGTTCACTTGTTCCAGTTTCGTTTCGGCGACACCGACCAGTTCGGGCCGTACATGATCCGCCCCCCTCCCTACCTCATCAATTTCTGGGGCGTGTTCGAGCTCGACCTCTTCTGGACGAAGGACGCCTCGATCCAGCCGGTGGGGGTTCGCGACATCTACGCGCTCGAGTTCAAGCTCTTCAACGATTCCAAGGCTCTCAGCCTCTTCTACATGTTCGCGGTGGTCGTGTTCATGGTCCACGGTTGCCTCGGCTGGAAGAAGCTCGCCCCAGCGTCGGCCTTCGGCATCCCGAAGAAGCATATCCCATTGGTGACCAAGTACGGCTACGCAATCTTCATTGCGGTCGGCCTCGTCTACATCTCGTTCCCGCTGTACTGCCTCTGCACGGTCCCGTTCAACGGCTACGAGAAGGACATCAACTCCGGCCGCGTCGAGCGCTGAGTTCCCAGCTTGCCACGCAGGGAGGTCAATCGTCGTTCAATCTCTCTCGCAGGCGTGTAGCCCGAGGGATTTGTTGCCCAGCAGTCGTACCTCTGTCAGGTGAGCGGCAGTGTGGACCAGCCGACGTAGGTACGCTCCCAAGAGGATCAATCGCGTATGTGCTCGAGTGTGTCTTGTGTCTCCCCTGTGCATGTGATGCAGTCGCTCCGCCGGCTCAACAGTGTGTTTGTGTGTGTGTGCGTGTGTGTGTGGGTGCGTGGGTGTGTTTTGTGTCTGCTCTTTGCATGTCTTGTGGTCGCGCCTCCAGCTCAATATTGAGCGTGTGTGCGCGCGTGTGTGTCTGTCTGTGCGCGTGTGTATGTGTGTGCGCGGGTAGGTGTGTGTATGTCTTTGCGTCTGTGAGCCTATGTGTGGGTGTGTGTTGGAAGGCGTGTCTGCGTGCGTGTGTGTGTGTGTGTGTGTGTGTTACGCCGCCTCGTCGCCGCGCGCGAGGCCGCTACCGCGCAAACTTGTGTATGTGTGTGTGTGTTGGTGTGTGTGGTGTATGTGTGTGTTGTGTGTACTGTGTGTGAATGTGTGAACGTGTAAATGTGTGGATGTGTGTGTGGGTGTGAGGGTGTGTGTGTGTTGTGTCTGCTCTATGCAGATGTTGCCGTCGCGCCACAAGCTCAATAGGTTGTGTGAATGTGTGTGTGTGCACGTGTGTGTGTGTGTGCGTCCGCATGTGTATGTGTGTGGTGTGTGTGGTGTGTGTGGGTGTGTGTCTGTGTGTTTGTCTATGTATGTGTCTCTGTCCGTGTGGCTGTGTGTGTGCTGGTTTGTGTGCGTGTGAATGCATTGTTCCGCCCCGTCGCCGCGCGCGAGACCGCAATCTCGAAAGAAGCGTGTGGTGGATGTGGTGTGTGTGTGGTGTGCAGTGTGTGTGTGTGTACAGTATGTGTATGTGTATGGCCATGTGCATGGCTATGTGCATGTGTGCGTATGTGTATGTGTGGCTGTGTCCGTGTATGTGTCTGCGTGTGTGTCTGTGTCTGTGTGTGGGCGTGTGCGTGTGTGTGCGTGTGTGTATGTGGGCGCGTTTGTGTGTATGTTCGTGTGTGTATGTGCTGTGTGGTTGTGTGTTTGTGTGTATGTTTGTGTGCCTGTCTGTCTGTGTCGTTGTGTCTGTGAGTACGTGTGTATGTGTGTCTGTGTGTATATGTGCCCGTGTGTATGTGTGACTGTATGTCTGTTTGTCAGTGTGTGTGTGCTTGTGCGCCGAAGTCGCTGTGTCGTTGTGTGTCTGTATGTCTGTGTGTCTGCGTGTCGGTGTGTTTGTGCGCCTCTGTGTTGTGTCTGATCTGTGCATGCGTTGCGGTCGCGCCGACAGCTCAATAGTGTATGTGTGTGCGTGTGTAGTTCTATGTGTGTGCGCGTGGATGTGTGTGTGTCGTTGCGCGTGTGTGTGTGTGTGTGTGTGTGTGTGGGTGTGAGTGTCTGATTGAGTGTGTGTGTGTGTGTCTGTTTGTGGTTCTGTGTGCATGTGTGCCCGTGGGTGTGTCTCTGCCTCGTCTCCGCGTGCGAGGCCGCTACCGCCAAGAAGTCTGTGTGAACGTGTGGACGCATAAATGCGTGAATGCGCGAATGCGCGAATGCGTGAATGTGTGAATGTGTGTGTGGGTGTGTGGCTTGCGTGATTCGTGTGTCCGTGTGCCAATGCGCCATCTAGGTGCGGCTTTGTGTGTGTATCTGTGTGTGTGTCTGTGTTGCTGTGTCTGTGTGATGTGTTTGGTCGGTGCATGTGTTGCGGTCGCGCCGCTATCTCAAAAGTGTGTGGGTGTGCGTGCTGGTGTGTGTGTGTGTTTGTGTGTGCGTCTGTGTGTGTCAGTGTATGTGTGGGTCTGCGTGTGTGTGTGTGTATGCCCGTGTCAGTGTATCGGTGTGTATGTGGTTGTCTGTGTGTGTGTCTGTGTGTGGTCCTGTGTGTGTGCCTGTATGTGCCTGTGTGTCTCCGTGTGTGTTTCGTTATGCTTATGTGTGTGTGTGTGTGTCTGTGTGTGTCCACGTGTCTCTGTGTTTGTGTGTGCCTGTGTGTGTATGTGTGTGTTTATGTGTGTCTGTGCGTGTGTCTATGTTTGTGTTTGCGTGTGTGTCTGCGTGTGCCTGCGTGTGTCTGTGTGTGTTTGTGGGTACGCGCCTGTGGGTGTTTGTGTGTGCCTGTCGGTGTGTCTGCGGGTGAGTCTGTGTTTGTCGGCGTGTGTCTGTGTGTGTGTCTCTGCGTCTGTGCGTGCCTGTGTGTCTGTGTGTACGCGTGGCTGTGTGTTAGTGTGTCTGAGTGTGTCTGTGTGTGTGGCTGCAGTGTGTGTCTGTGTGGTTGTGTGTGTGGTGTGCGTGTGTGGCTGTGTGGGTGTGTGTATGTGTGCTGGTGTATGTGCGTGTGTGTTTGTGTTTCTCCGCCCCGTCTCCGCACGCGAGACCGCACTCGCCCAAGAAGTGTGTGTGTATGGTGGTTCGTGGTGTGTGTAGTGTGGTGTGTGTGTGCATGTGGGGATTGCTATGTGTGTGTGCGTATGTGTGCGTATGTGTGTGCGTGTGTGTCCGTGCCTGTGTCTGTGCATGCGTCCGTGTTTGTGTCGGTGTCTGTGTCTGTTGGTGGGCGTGTGCGTATGTGTGGACGTGTGTGTGTGAGGGCGTGCGTTCCGCGCGCGCGCTTCCTGCTATTCGACCTCCACCCTGTCGCTGCGCGCAGGGCCGCGACACCAAAACAATGGGCGTGTGTGTGTGTATGTGTGTTTGTGTTTGTGTGGTTGTGTGTTTGCGTCTGTGTGTCTGTGTGTCTGTGTGTCTGTGTGTCTGTGATGCCTGTGTGTCTGTGTGTGTCTCTGTGTGTGTCTCTGTGTCGGTGTTTCTGTGTGTGTGTGTGTCTGTGCGTTTGTGTGTCTGTGAGTCTGTGTGTCTCAGTGTCTCTGTGTCTCTCTGGCTGTGCGTCTGTGTGTTTGTGTGCCTGCGTGTCTGTGTGCCTGTGTGTGTGTCTACTTGTCTGTGTGTCCGTGTGCTCGCGTGTCTGTGTGTCTGAGTGTCTGTGCGCCCTCGCGTCTGTGTGCCTGCGTGTGTGTGTGTGTGTCTCTGTGTCTCTGTGGCTGTGTGTCTGTGTGTCTGTGTGTGCCTGTGTGT